GAGAGCAGACGCAGCAGTAGACTCGAAAGAAGGGTCAGTGACAACAGTAGCAAGGAGATGCGTGACAGTAGGACTGACAGCACAAAGAGAGTCCGACTCAGGGTCGGCAAGAGCAGGAAGAGAGGACGCGGGAGGAGAAGGCAAAGGGGCACGCAGAGGAGCAGTAGACGGACGTAGAGACATCCGGTGCGTGCCAGGGGCAGGAGGAGGACGCTGGCGTGAACTACGAGCACTAGCGCTAGCAGGACGGACAGGCGACGCCGGACGAGACGCAGACTCACGACGCTCAGTAAGACCGCCAGTAGGACCAGTGTAAGGAGAAGGAGCAGGTAGTGGGGAGGCCGGCTGCAACTGTAACTGTGACGGGACAGGCTGTGAACACGCTAAGGGAGGAGGACCAGGAGGAGGCGAGAGACCAAGAACCTGCTGAAGGAGCGGAACGAAGTACGGCTGAGGGCGCGCGGCGACTCCAGACACAGCAGGGACAGCACCTGTACCCCCAGCGGCAGTACCAGAACCAGCAGCAGCTCCAACGCCCAGGTCCTCAGTACTAGCCTCAGCACCAACGCCCGAGTCCTCAGCACCAGCAGTGGCTCCAACACCAGGGTCCACAGCACCTGCCGCAGCTCCAACGCCCGGGTCCTCAGCACCAGCAGGGACTCCGACACCAGGGTCCACAGCACCAGTCGCAGCTCCAACGCTAGGGTCCGCAGCACCAGCCGTAGCCCCAACGCCCGGGTCCTCAGCACCAGCAGCACCTTCAACCCTCGGGTCCGCAGCACCAGCAGCAGCTCCAACGCCAGGGTCCGCAGCACCAGCAGCAACTCCAACGCCCGGGTCCGTAGCACCAGGGGCAGCCGGGTCCGTGAGACGAGGCGCACCACTCCGAAGTGTGCAACGGCGCTCGTACCACTCACGGATCCGCTCACGAGAGGGGAGCTCCCGACTAGGAGGAGAAGTACCAGCCCCAATCCCTGTAGTGCGCCTGGTCCCAGAGGTAACACTCTGGAGGCTGCAGTACTGTAAGTACCACTCACGCAACTGCTCCGAGGAGAGGTCTCGTCCAGGTGTAGCACCCTCAGGCCCAGCACTGCCAGGCTCAGCACTCCCAGTCACCGCACCCCCAGGCTCAGCACCCCCAGGCTCAGTACCCCCAGTGTCCGCACCCCCAGGCTCAGCACCCCCAGTCTCCGCACCCCCAGGCTCAGCACCCCCAATCTCCGCACCCCCAGGCTCAGTACCCCCAGAGTCAGCACCCCCAGGCTCAGTACCCCCAGTCTCCGCACCCCCAGGCTCAGCAACCCCAGCAAGACGAGAGTCGACAGCAACCTCAACAGGCTCGACCGGGTCTACCTGAGACACACCTGAGGGAGCGGCACCCCGAGGGGGGAGGGGGTCTACGACAGCAGCACCTGGCGCGAGGAAGAGAGGCGGGGGTGGGAGCGGGGCAGTGCGGTAGGGAAAGAGGCGGTAGTAAGGGACAGACTCGTCAAAAGTGACGTCCTGAGAGGGCAAGACCCGGCGCGAGGTGGCGTGGTAAAACTGCCGACCAGGCGCGTCCGTAACAAAGCCGAGGAAGACGCAGGGAATAGCCCGAGAGGAGAGCTTGTCCGCAGACGAATCGCGGACAAAAGCTCGAGATCCCCAGACCCGGAAACGTGACGCATCGCCAACCTCCCCTGTCCACAGCAGTGTGGGCGAGGTCTCCGGCAAGGAGACACGGGGCCAGAGGTTGAGCTGATGCGCAGCGTACCGGACCGCAAACGGCCACAGAAAGTGGGGGGCAGCCGCATGGATCAAGGAGGTACGAGCGACCTCCATGACCAGGCCAATGCGGCGCTCCGCAACCCCATTCTGCTGTGGAGAGGCCGGAAGCGTGAACGACTGCTCAATGCCGTGCTCAGCACAGTAGGCTGCCAAGAGGTCGGAGGAGAACTCACCACCTCTGTCAGAGTGCAAGCGCAGGACAGGAAAGTCCGAGCGGAAACGCTCGCTGAGCTGGAGACGAGCTCTGCGGATCCAAGGGATCAAAACATCAGGGACCTCACCCTTGGCTCGCAAGGGGAAGACCGTGGTGTAGCGCGAGTAGTCGTCAACAACGATCAGGAAGTACCTCTCCTGACCCTGACCACGGACGCCGGCTGGGCCCCACACGTCCATGTGGAGCGTCTGCAAAGGAGCAGTCGTCGGGGGAAACGAGGAGGAGTGAGGAGCGGCGCGCTGCCGCCCCTCGACACAGGGAAGACAGGGAGGAGCAGGCGAGGGTGGGAGGGGAGGTAGTACCCGGGGAAGACCAGAGACAAGGTACCGGGAGTACATGGCACGAAGGTGCTGCACAGACGGGTGGCCCAGTCGGTGGTGCCAGAGGACAGTCTCGTGCGCTAGAGAGCGACACGAGCAGGGGGCGGACAGCTGACCTGACGCGGACGCAGACGCAGACGCAGCGACCTGAGGGGGGGCAGTAGTCAGTGTGTACAGATCCGACCCCGGCTGCCGGGTGAAGGTAGCCAAGTGGCGGCCGGTACGGGCACACGTGCAGTGTGTGACACGCTCGTAAGCAGGGGTGAACTGGTGAACACCCGCGTCCTGTAGTGCACAACCTGCCACCAAGTTCGTAGAGAACGAGGGGAGGTGGAGACCTGACAGTGTGCCCGACGGGACCGCAGGACAGGGAAGGACAGTGGAGGAGGTCGCAAGGACCGGACCCCCAGAGGGGTCAGCGAGGGAGACAGCAACTGGCCGAGCAAGGGGCTCAAGGGCAGTGCGGTCACGAAAGAAACAGCGAGAGGCACCTGAATCCAGTGTGAAGGTGTGCAGTGCTGCAGTCGACACAGTACTAGGGGGGGCAGACGTACACGCACCTAGAGCAGCAGCCTCACCAGCACCTGGGGTAGCGGACACGCGAGTACCTAGAGCGGCAGACGCACTAGTCCTAATGCCCGGGTCGGGCGGAACACTCAGGTAATCAGCACCCTCTCCACTAGTAGACATCACATACATGGCAGTGAGAATAGCATCAAAGTCTAGAGCATAAATATCAATCCCCTTCTTCAGGAGATCAACCCAGCGGGGCAGCTCAGTGGCCTGAGGGAACTGAACACGCCAAGCGTCGTTCAGACGAGCGAAGCAACGCTGTGTGGCGTGCGGTCCCCCACACGGCTGGCCAGTGCGGTCACCAGTGCAAATGACGTACGTGCAGCTAAGGCCACCCCCCCCCCCCCCCCCGTGCTGAGAGTACCACTCACGGACCTCCTGGGGCGACGGAGTGTGCTGCTGGCCCTGGCCACCGCCAGCGCCTCCACGACCACCACCGCTGCTACCACCTCCTCGACCACCCCAACCCCGGCCGCTGCCTCGTCCACCGCCACCCCCACCACCTCCTCCGCCCCGGCCACCTCCCCCGCCGCTGCCGCCACCCCCCCCACTGCTGCCACCTCCCCCACCCGCGCCACCCCCCCCGCCACCACCACCTCCCCCACCACCGCCACCCCCGCTGTCACCACCACCGCCCTTGCCCCCCTTGCCCTTGCCGCTGCGGCGCCCACTCGAAGCAGACGCAGTCCCGACCTTCTCAGCACCAAGGAGGTCGACAGCAGCAGCAGAGGCGACAGAGGGAAGAAGGGGGGAGGGAGAACACCCCTCAAAGAATGGGGTACGGGGGTCACCGCGAGAGGCACCTGTCAGAACATATATGTAGCTTATGCTGTTGTGTAGGCTACAGTGGGGTATACCATAGGGGGTACAACCCAATTAGGGTTTTGCTATTTGTACTCACTTCACTCATAGTTCATTCATTCTCGCTCTATTCTCCACATGGTATCGAGCGGGTTCCCCCGTGGGAACTGTGCTTAGGGCCCACCACTCTTAAATTTTTTTTTCTGCCCGGAGCGCGCTTCGGGCCCTCGCTCTCACTCTTTCGGCCTGCCCTGCAGGCCCCTAGCCGCCCGCGCGCCGCCTGTCCCGGCCCCTAGCCGCCCGCGCGCCGCCCGTTCAGGCCCCTAGCCGCCCGCGCACCGCCCGTCCCGGCCCTTAGCCGCCCGCGCGCCGCCCGTCCCGGCCCCTAGCCGCTCGCGCGCCGCCCGTTCAGGCCCCTAGCCGCCCGCGCGCCGCCCGTCCCGGCCCCTAGCCGCTCGCGCGCCGCCCGTTCAGGCACCTAGCCGCCCGCGCGCCGCCCGTCCCGGCCCTCAGCCGCCCGCGCGCCGCCCATCCCGGCCCCTAGCCGCTCGCGCGCCGCCCGTTCAGGCCCCTAGCCGCCCGCGCGCCGCCTGTCCCGGCCCCTAGCCACCCGCGCGCGCCCGTCCCGGCCCCTAGCCGCTCGCGCGCGCCCGTCCCGGCCTCACACCGCCCGTGCGCCGCCCCTCCCTGCTGCGCGCCGCCGTCCTGGCCCCCCACGCCGCCCGTTAGCCGCCGTGCAGCCTGAGCCGCCCGAGCCGTCTGCGCAGCTGAGGAGCCGAGCCGCCCGAGCCGCCTGTGCCGCTGACTGCCCGAGCTGCCCGAGCCGCCTGAGCCGCCCGAGCCGCCCGAGCCGCCTCCCCCCCCCCCCCCCTTTTCCCGTCGCCTGTCGAGGCAACCTGAGGGGGCCGCTTGCTACTTCTCCTCCTCCTTCGTCTCGAGCCGCCCTGCAGCCGAGCCGCCTCGCCGCCGAGCCGCTTTACACCCGAGCCTCCCAGCAGCCGAGCCGCCCTGCAGCCGAGCCGCTCTACACCCGAGCCTCCCAGCAGCCGAGCCGCCCTACAGCCGCGCCGCCGGGTCGCCGAGCTGCCGAGCTGCAGTTGCTGCCGAGCCGCCCTGCCGCCGAGCCGCCCGAGTCGCCCGAGCCGCAGAGCCGCCGTGCTGCCGAGCCTCTGAGTCGCCGAGCCTACTCTACCCACCACTGGTGAGCCCCTGCCCTGCTAGCACGCTGCGCGTCGCCTGCTTGCCTGCCTGCCTCCCTTTTTGGCTTGCATGGCTGCCAGCCTTACTGCTGCTACTCCTGCTCCTGCCTCTACTGGTGGAGCCAGATGCGGCCCCATCGACGTCTGCGTGAGTCCCTCACGCCCCAGCAGCTGCGTGAGTGGTACGCTGGTTGGGGCTGTAGGGGTGGTGGCGCTACTACTGCTACCACTCCTGCTGCTTCTACTACTGGTGGCGGCCAGATGCAGCTCCCGCGACCCCCCCGCGCGTCTCTCACGCCTCAGCAGCTTCGTGAGTGGTACGCTCAGAGTGGAGGGTCTCTCAGTTCTGTTTGCTGCTCTTACGTGATTCTCACTGGTGCTCGGACTGGTCAGCCCTGTGGGACACCTAGTCATACACAGTCCCGCTGCTTCGCCCGTCTGAGCGACGCCTGGCGTACCGTGTTTGGCGACGAGGCTGAGCTCCCCGACTGGGTGGAGTTGCTTAGGCAGAGGGTAGATATATTTGCTCTTGACTATGATGCTATTCTCACTGCCATGTATGCATTGCCTACTAGTGCTGACCGTGCCGGTCACCTGTGCGTACCGCCTGACCCGGGTATAGGACCTGCTGCTCTAGCTACTAGTGAGGCTGCTGCTGCTCTGGGGGCTAGTGAGTCTCCTGCTCCAGGTACTGGTGCGGCTGCTGCTCTAGGTGCTAGTGAGTCTGCTTCCTCAGGTGCGGGTGAGGCTGCGCTCTCAGGTACCACGTTGGCTTCGGCCTCCCTCACCTTTACACTTGGCTCTGGGGCTTCTCGCTCCTTCTTTCGGGACCGCACCACACTCACGCCGCTTGGTCGGCCTGTTGCAGTCTCCCTGGCTGACCCCTCTGGGGGTCCTGTCCTCGCTCACTTTTCCACTGTCCTCCCGTGTCCGGCTGCCCCCTCGGGCACCCTGTCTGGCCTGTACCTCCCCTCGTTCTCGACGAACTTGGTGAGTGGTGCAGACCTGCAGGATGCGGGGGTTCACCAGTTCACTCCTGCGAGTCAGCGGGTGACCCACTGCACGGACGCACGCACAGGCCGGCACCTGGCCACGTTCTCGCGTCGGCCGGGGTTGAGCCTCTACACCCTGACCACTGAGTCTCCTCCTGTCCCTGCGTCCGGTCAGGTAGCAGCGTCAGGTCAGGTGTTTGCTGCTGCGTCCAGGTCTGGTCCTGAGTCTGCCCCCTGCTCGTGTCGCCTCTTGTCTCACGAGACTCTCCTGTGGCACCACCGTCTTGGCCACCCCACCTTGCCCCGTCTTCGGGGCATGGCTTCCCGTGTCCTTGTCTCTGGTCTTCCCCAATCTCTCCCTCCCCTTCCTTCGGGACCAGGACCTTCCTGTGTCCCCTGTGTCGAGGGGCGCCTCAGGGCTGCACCTCACTCCTCCCAGTTTCCCTCGACAGAGGCTCCTCTGCAGACGCTTCACATGGACGTGTGGGGCCCGGCCCCCGTCCGTGGGCAGGGTCACGAGCGCTACTTCCTGTTGGTGGTTGACGACTACTCGCGTTACACCTCAGTCTTCCCCTTGCGCAGCAAGGGTGCTGTCACTGAGGTGCTGATCGACTGGATCCGCGAGGCTCGTCTCCAGCTCAGGAGGAGCTTCGGCTCGGACTTTCCTGTTCTGCGTCTGCACTCTGACCGAGGTGGGGAGTTCTCCTCTCGCCTTATGCGAGACTACTGTCGTGCACAGGGGATCCGCCAGACCTTTACGCTTCCGGACTCTCCACAGCAAAATGGGATTGCTGAGCGCCGCATTGGCATGGTCATGAATGTCGCTCGTACGTCCATGATGCATGCGGCTGCCCCCCATTTTCTGTGGCCGTTTGCGGTTCGGTACGCGGCGCATCAGCTCAACCTTCACCCCAGGGTCTCTCGGCCCGATATGTCCCCACGGTTACTGTGGACGGGGAAGGTCGGCGATGCGTCTGCGTTCCGTGTCTAGGGATCTCGGGCGTTTGTCCGCGACTTGTCAGCGGACAAGTTGTCCCCCCGTGCTGCTCCCTGTGTCTTCCTCGGCTTCCCCCCTGACGCTCCAGGGTGGCAGTTCTACCACCCCTCCTCTCGTCGTGTTCTGTCCTCCCAGGACGTCACGTTTGACGAGTCAGTCCCCTTCTACCGCCTCTTCCCCTACCGTACTCCTTCCCTCCCCCCCCCACCGGACTTCCTGGTGCCAGTTCCCCCCCCGGTAGACCCCCTCCCCCCTCAGGTTCCTGCCCCTTCAGGTGTGTCCCAGGTAGACACAGTCGAGCCAATCGAGGTTGCTGCTGAGTCTGGTCCTGCTGCGGGTGCAGAGTCTGGGGGTGCTACGCCTGCGGGTGCTGAGCTTGGGGGTGCTGCTGCTGGGGGTGCTGAGCCTGGGGGTGCGAGGCCGGGGGGTGCTGAGCTTGGGGGTGCTGCTGCTGGGGGTGCTGAGCCGGGAGGTGCTACGTCAGGAGCTGCTGAGCCTGGGGGTGCTGAGCCTGGAGGTGCGGAGCCTGCGACTGCTGGACCTGGGGGCTCTCCGGTTGCTCCGTCTCGGCGGGAGCCGCTCTCTCCACAGGAGCTGCGCGAGTGGTTTGCTCGCCGCTGGAGGCGTGCTGCTGGAGCTGGAGCTCCTTCGACTGCTGAGCGTGCTGGTGCTGCCGGTCCCGGAGCTGCTGGGCCTGCGGGTCCTACTGGAGCTGGAGCTGCTGAGCCTGGGGGTGCTGAGTCTGGAGCTGCTGAGCCTGGGGGTGCTGAGTCTGGGGCTGCTGAGCCTGGGGGTGCTACGTCTGGAGCCGCTGAGCCTGGGGTTTCTCCTGGTGCTGCGTCTCGGCGGGAGCCCCTCTCTCCACAGGAGCTGCGCGAGTGGTTTGCTCGCCGCTGGAGGCGTACTGCTGGAGCTGGAGCTTCTTCGACCGTCGAGGGTACTGGTGCCGCCGGTCCCGGAGGTGCTACGCCTGCGGGTCCTACTGGAGCTGGGGCTGCTGAGGGCGTTGGTGCTGAGTCTGCTGCTGTCTGTCCTGACGGTGGTTCTGCTGCTGGTGCTGCTGGAGGTCCTGCCGCTGGAGGTTTTGGTGGCGCTGGTGCTGCCGCTGAGGGTGCTGGTGCTGTCCCTGCTGAGTCTGGAGCTGCCGCGCGGCCTCGACCGTACTTCGTTCCGCTTCTGCAGCAGGTTCTTGGTCTTTCTCCTCCGGTAGAGTGTCCACAGCCTGTCTAGTCGCAGTCACTGTTGGAGCCTACCTCCCCACTGCCTGCTCCCTCTCCTTACACTGGTCCTACTGGAGGTCTTGCTGAGCGTCGTGAGCGTGCGTCTCGTCCCGCGTCGCCTGTTCGTGCTGCCCGCGCTAGAGGTCGTGGTTCGCGTCCGCGTCCTCCTCCTGTCCCTGGCACGCACCGGATGTCTCTGCGTCCGTCCACTGCTCCTCTGCGTGCCCTTTTGCCTTCTTCTCCTGAGTCCTCCCTTCCTGTGCTTACCGACCCAGAGTCGGACTCCCTTCGTGCTGCCAGTCCTACCGTCACGCGTCTCCTTGCTACTGTCGTCACTGACCCCTCTTTTGAGTCCGCTGCAGCGTCTGCTCTTGTCGCTGAGCTCGTCGACTTTGCTGCTCGCTGTCGTCTAGACTACGCTGCTAGTCTTGTTGCTGAGTCTGCGTCTGTCTGTCCTCCGTCCGTCGGGGGTGAGTGTGCTCTTGGCACGGACGTCCTAGAGGACAGGCAGGAGGAGTTCCAGTGTCTGGCTGCTGCTTCACCTCATCTCGCGTCTGTACTGCTTGCTCCTGAGGGAGACCCGGATGCACTAGACATCCCGACTCCGCGCTCTTACGCGGAGGCCGTAGAGGGTCCCTACTCCTCTCAGTGGCAGGCAGCTATGGATGCAGAGATGGCTTCCTGGAAGTCCACAGGCACCTACGTTGACGCGGTTCCCCCTCCTGGGGCGAACATCGTCAGTGGCATGTGGATCTTCAGGGTGAAGCGGCCGCCGGGCTCTCCACCTATCTTCAAGGCGCGGTACGTCGCTCGTGGCTTCAGTCAGCGACAGGGAGTTGACTACTTTCAGACCTTCTCTCCCACCCCGAAGATGACCACTCTTCGGGTGCTGCTGCACATAGCCGCTCAGCGCGACTACGAGCTTCACTCTCTCGACTTCAGTACTGCGTTCTTGCAGGGGAGCCTCCACGAGGAGATCTGGCTGCGCCGTCCACCTTGCTTCACTGGGACTTTCCCTCCTGGCACCCAGTGGAGCCTCCGACGGCCAGTCTACGGTCTCCGCCAGGCACCACGTGAGTGGCACGACACACTGAGGACTACACTTGCGGCCCTTGGGTTTGCTCCTTCTACTGCTGACCCGTCGCTGTTTCTGCGCACCGACACTTCACTGCCGCCGTTCTACATCCTCGTGTACGTCGACGACTTGGTCTTTGCCACAGCGGACACTGCTGGACTCGCCTACGTGAAGTCCGAGCTGCTGAAGAGACACACGTGCACAGACCTGGGTGAACTGCGCAGCTACCTTGGCTTGCAGATCACTCGGGACAGAGCACGCCGCACCATTACCTTGACTCAGTCACACATGGTGCAGCAGGTCCTTCAGCGCTTCGGCTTCACGTACTCCTCGCCTCAGGCCACTCCTCTGTCTACTCGCCACTCGCTCTCAGCTCTGCCTTCGGATGAGTCCGTAGAGTCGAGTGGCCCGTACCCAGAGCTTGTTGGCTGCCTCATGTACCTGATGACCTGCACACGACCTGACCTTGCATACCCTCTTAGCATTCTTGCACGCTATGTTGCTCCTGGGAGACACCAACCAGAGCACATGGCTGCAGCGAAGAGGGTATTGCGCTACCTGTGCAGTACGTCGGGCATGGGGCTAGTGCTTGGAGGGCGGAGTCCAGTGGTACTTACAGGTCACGCGGACGCTTCTTGGGCTGACGACCAGGCTACGCAGCGGTCGTCACAGGGTTACACCTTCAGCCTTGGCTCCGGCTCTGTCTCGTGGCGGGCTACTCGCTCGTCTTCGGTTCTCAGCTCGAGTTGTGAGGCTGAGATCTACGCAGGGGCCATGGCTGCACAGGAGCTTCGCTGGCTCACCTACCTGCTGACTGACCTTGGAGAGCCGCCTCGTTCTCCTCCAGTGCTGTACGTAGACAACAAGGCCATGCTGGTCATGTGTCGAGAGCAGCGTCTGGAGCACAGAACGAAGCACATTGCTCTTCGCTACTTCCTTGCTCGTGAGCTACAGCAGCGTGGACAGTTGCGGCTTGCGTACGTGGCCTCTGAGGCCAACACTGCTGATGTGTTCACCAAGGCACTCGCGCCTTGTGACCATCAGCGCTTCTGCACCCAGCTGGGTCTTGTGCCTGTCTTGCCTCACTTGCTCTCCTCTTGACTTTACTTGTACTGTCACATATATATACCTGCTCTTGCTTGTCTAGCTTTATATGTATATATGTGTGTACTCCTGCATGTGAACTGGCCTTGTGGCCTTGCTCTTGTGCTCGGACTGTGTGGTGACTTTGTGATCCACCCTGAGCTTTGCTTTGCTTTGCTTGACTGGTCTTGTGACCCCTTGTTCTCCCCCACTTTGCCTATGGGGGTGTGTCAGAACATATATGTAGCTTATGCTGTTGTGTAGGCTACAGTGGGGTATACCATAGGGGGTACAACCCAATTAGGGTTTTGCTATTTGTACTCACTTCACTCATAGTTCATTCATTCTCGCTCTATTCTCCACAGCACCTACAGCCACTATGCTAGCCTCAGCTGCAAGCAGTTCCTTCTCGAGGAGGGCAATGGTGAGCTCGGTGGGGCAGCGAGCTAGGAAGTGGTCCCTGACTGAGCGCAGAGTGTCAGGGAGGCGCGTGACTAGGTGGTCGAGAGTGAGCCAGAGCGGGGGTAGTTCTTGGCAAGGAACTCATCAGGCATAGCGGCGCGGAAGCGAGCCTCACTAGTGCGGAGGTGGGTAATGAGATCAGCGACAGTGTGGAAGGAAGCTAGGTCGGGGAACAGGTAGGGAAGAGAGAGACGGCCTAGAGCGGCAGAGGCAGGCGAGGAGTAGCGGGCAACGACAGCAGTGTACAGTGCCTGTGCAGTCTTGTGCTGCCCAAAGTGCTCGCGCTCATCTATCGGCAGAGAGTTGCGAATAGCGAAGCGAGTATGGGCGTCACGAGTTTGCCACTGTGAGCGGGCAGTGCTGTCAGCAGTAGCAGCAGGAGCAGTAGCGTGGCCTAAGGCATGATCGTACAGCGAGATGTCTTCCTTGGCAGTGAGCTGTAGGAAGAGGTGTAGGTCATCAAGCCAGGTGTCGAACTTCACTGGGCGGCCCTCGGTATCAAAGGTTAGGACAGGAGGGCTTGCCATGGTAGCAGCAGTAGGAAAAGCAGTAGGAGCAGTAGGCTAGGTAGGGCGGCGCGGCTCGGTACAGGTAGGGCGGCGCGGCTCGGTATAGGTAGGGCGGCGCGGCTCGGGTCGGGCGGCGCGGCTTGGTTCGGGCGGCACGGGTCGGGCGGCGCGGCTCGACTCGGGCGGCTCGGTTCGGGCGGCGCGGCTCGGTTCGGGCGGCTCGGTTCGGGCGGCTCGGGTCGGTTAGGGCTGGCGGCTCGGGTCGGGCGACTCGGTTCCGTTAGGGCTGGGCGGCTCGGGTCGGCTCGGTTCGGGCTGCTTGGTCTGGGTGGGGCCGTTCGGGGCCGCTAAGGGCGAGCGCGGGGAGCGGGTGGGGCCGTGAAGGACGAGCGTGGGGCCGACGTTGGTGCTAAGGGCGAGCGCGGGGCCGACGTGGGTGCTAAGGGCGAGCGCGGGGCCTATCAGGGCCGTGAGGGACGAGCGCGGGGCCGATCGGGGCCGTAAGGGACGAGCGCGGGGCCGACGTGGGCCTCTAAGGGCGAGCGCGGGGCCTATCGGGGCCGTGAGGGACGAGCGCGGGGCCGATCGGGGCCGGTAAGGACGAGCGCGGGGCCGACTCGGGCCTCTAGGGGTAAGCGCGGGGCCGATTCGGGGCCTCTAAAAGCGAGCGCGGGGCCGACCGAGGCCTCTAGGTGCGAGAGCGCGGGGCCGACGGGGCCTCTAGGGGCGTGAAATCCGAGGCGCCCTAGGGCGCAGGTAGGTAGGTAGGTAGTGGTGGGCCCTAAAAAATCGGTCCTAGGAAGGACCTGCTCTATACCATGTTGAACAAGAATGAATGAACTAAGAGTGAATGAGTACAAGTATCAAAACCTAGGAATATGTACCCCCTATAGGCTAACCCACTGTAGCCTAAACAACTACAACAACATATATAATGTTTGACATGCTACACCCCTTGCTCCACTCCTCCTTCACCCCCCCTTAGTACCACTCCAACGGCTCCAAGAGGTCCACCCCCCCTCAGCGGCAGCTGCAGTAGCGGGAGACTGAGGAGGAGGAGGAGCAGGGAAAGGCACACAGAAGCTGCACTTTATACCCCCCACCCCCAAACCCTAATTCAGGAGAACGGGCAGTAGGAGGGGTGGGGCGCCATCGGAAGCACGGGGAACAGCGGGGAGGGCAGGGGCAGCGAGGAACGGGCCGCCCACGGGCCTGGCACAGCCTCCCGAACCGCGCGCAGGCGGCCCAAGCCGCGCGCGGGCCTGGCGCCGCCCGTACGGGCCGCGCGCGGGCCTGGCGCAGCCCGTACGGGCACCGCGCGGGCCTGGCGCAGTCCGTACGGGCCGCGCGCGGGCCTGGCGCAGCCCGTACGGGCCGCGCGCGGGCCTGGCGCAGCCCGTACGGGCCGCGCGCAGGCCGTACGGGCCGCGCGCAGGCCACGACGGGCGACAGGGGGTGACGCGCGGACCCCGTCGCCCGACGCAGCGCCTCCCGGGAGCGACGCGCGGCGTGACGGGGCAGAAACCCGCCGCGCGCCTCGGGGCGCACGGCGGGCAGAAAACCGCCGTGCGCCTTGGGGCGCATGGCGGGCTGAAAACCCTAATTTCGACGCCGCGCACTACGGGGCGCGCGGCGGACAGGGAGTAGCAGTAGCAGCGGAAGCAGTGAAGTGGGGCCCACAGGCCAGGAGCATATAGCTCTGATTCCACGTGAAAGTAGTAGACAGAAGTAGTCTTAGGAGCCATAGCTAGGAGAGTCCTAGCTAGGCAAGAGACAGTTTAGGCAAAAGAGGAAGGTTGCACTAGCAAGAATGGGGATACAAAAAGCAAACCCTAGAAGGGTTGTACTCGCTATAGAGCACCCCACTACAGGCTAGAGCATAACATTCTAACAGGTGCTTGAGGTACTAGAGGTACTTGAGCTGCTGACGGTACGGGTATTGCGCCGCGTCGACTGTTTTTCTACCCGCAGTCGCTGTCGTCCCTTCCACCGCTTGACTCAGCCCTTCGCCAGGTTCTTAGTCTCCCGTCTTCCACTGGCCTCACTCCTCTCCTGTGTCCACCAACAGACCAGTCTCAGCCACAACTACTGCCTGGCTCCCCGCTCCCAACTCGTGCTCCTCACACTAAGGTGACTGAGTCCCTGACTGAGCGTCGGGAGCCTGAGACTCGTGCTTCCAAACCTGTTCGTACTTGTCCTGTCGCCCGTTCTCGTCCTCCTGCTGTCCCAGGCACCCACGTTATAACACTTCGTCTTTCCTCTGCTCCAAAGTGTGTTGCCCTGCCGTCTCCTCCGGCGTCCTCTCTTCCTGAAAATTCTGACCCTGAGTCAGACCTTTCTCGTGCTGCCAGTCCTACTGAAACTCGTCTCCTCGCTACTGCCTTAACTGACCCTGACTTTGAGTCTACTGCTTGCCCTCTTCACTGAGCTAATCAACTTTGCTACCAGGAGTCGTCTCGACTATGTCGCGAGTCTTATTACTGAGTCTGAGTGTGTCTGTCCTCCGTACGTTGGGGGTGAGCCTGCCCTTAGCAGTGACGTCCTTGAGGACTAGCAGTTTCAGCTAGAGTGTCTTGCGACTGCTTTACCTAGTTTTGCATCCATACTACTTTGCCTTAAGGGATACCCGGATGCACTTGACCTACCCCGCGCTCTTATGCAGAGGCGATCGCGGGTGAGTAGTTCTCTCAATGGCAGATAGCCATGGGCATGGAGATGGTTTCCTGGAAGTCCACAGGCACCTACGTCGACGAGGTTCCTCGTCCTGGGGCGAACATAGTCGATGGCATGTGAATTTTCAGAGTGAAGCGGCCGCCACGTTCTCTGCCTGCCTTCAAGGTGCGTTACGTTGCTCGAGGTTTCAGTCAGTGACAGGGGGTTGACTTCTTCCAGACCTTCTCCCTCACACCAAAGATCACTACTCTTTAGGTATTACTGTATGTTGCAGCACAACTTGACTACGAGCTGCACTCCCTCTACTTCTCCACAGCTTTCTTGCAGGGCTGCCTTCACGAGGAGATCTGGCTGTGCCGCCCACCTGGCTTCACTGGGTCGTTTCCTGCAGGTACCCAGTGGAGCCTCCGGCAGCCAGTCTACGATCTTCGCCAGTCACCCCACGAGTGACACGACACACTGAGGACGACACTTGCGACTCTTGGGTTTGCTCCTTCCTCTGCTGACGTGCCGCTGTTTCTCCGCACCGACACTACCCTGCCACCGCTCTACGTTCTCGTGTACCTTGATGACTTGGTTTTTGCTACTGCTAACACTGGGGCGCTGGCCCTAGTGAAGGCAGAGCTGCAGGAGAGACACACTTGCACTGACCTGGGTGAGCTTCGGAGCTATCTTGGCTTGCAGATCACCCGGGATAAAGCAGGACGCACCATCACCCGAGCTTAGTCACACATGGTGCACCAGGTCCTTCACCGCTTCGGCTTCCAGTACTCTTCGCCACAGCCCACTCCTCTGCCTACTGGCCACTCACTCTCAGCTCCACCTTTGAACGAGTCCGTAGAGCCAAGTGGTCCGTATCAAGAGATTGTAGGTTGCCTCATGTACCTGATGATGTGCACACGACCTGAGCTCGCGTACCCTCTCAGCCTCCTGGCTCGCTGTGTGGCTCCTGGTAGACACTGAAAGGTGTACTGGGATGCTGCAAAGAGGGTACTGAGTTACTTGTGCAGTACATCAACCATGGGGCTCGTGCTTAGAGGACGGGGTTCAGTGGTACCCACAAGACACTCCGGTTCTTCTTGGGCCAACGACTAGGCGACCCGCGGGCCTTACGTTCGTCCCTTAGCATGCCCCCCCGCAGTCGCTCTTGTCTCTCCCGTAGTGCGGTCTCTCACGACCCTTCGTCCGTCCTGTAGAGTGTCAGAATTAGAACGAGAATGATTGAACTATGAAACAGTTGGGTACAAGTACTAACCCTAGTTGGGTTGAACCCCTTATGGGCTACCCCACTACAGCCTACACAGATGTTTAAGCTATAATGTGTGACTGAGTCAGGGTAATGGTGCGCTGTGCTCTGTCCCGGGTGATCTGCAA